AGTATTTACTTACGATCGTTTATATTTTGGTTTTTGTATTCTGTTAATTTTTATTATTATTATGGATTGCCTGCATATAGGCTTTTTTAGTAGGTTTTGGAGATTTTGTCATATTGAGTAAGAATATTGGTTCATCTTATTTTCTCCTTGTTCTATTTCTTCTCTTTCTCTCTCTCTATTTTCTCTCCCCGTCCTAGATCATATGCTCCTTCATCACCCAGAATTTCAGGAATATGTTTTTAAGTCAATTACTTGTTGAGTTTTGCATTTAAAATCTTTAACATTTATACTAACTTGAATGTTCATTCAATTTCAGATGACTCAAAGGCAGATGATCAGGGGAGTTTTCAGGAAACTTTCTTGAGGCAGTTTCAAAATTTAATCACCCCGTTATTGGTCATTGGGCTATTTCTTTCCTCCTTCTCCTTTGGTTCTCCTGATCAGCAACAGGTAAGTGCATCCATAAATATGTGATATATGTATATTTTTTGGATAGATTTATGCAATTAGAGTCGCATATTTTATCTTTTTTTTTTTCTTATGATATAAAGCCAAGTCAATTTTAGTTTATGCAATTAGAGTTGCATATTATATCATTTCGTTTTCCTTTTTATTAATAATGATATAAAGCCAAGTCAATTCTACTTACAACTCACAAGTTTAAATTGTGCACATTACTAAGGAAAATTCTTTGGAGTCCAACTATTTTTTATTTTTATTTTTTCTCTTTCCTGTTCTATTACATGAGGTGGCTGGGACCTCGTACACATGAGAGGAGAGAGTTGCAAAAGTAGTTTGGCTCTTTAACATCTTCTATAAAATAATAATGTAAAAATAAAAGAAGTTTGTCTCATTTTGATTTAGATTAGATTTGGCATGGGCAACGTCCTTGACTGAACTGAAGTTGGTCTTCAGCTAGATTCTGGCTACATGCTTTGTGACCCTAATTACTGAAAAATTATCCATTCACTTTCATATCAGTAAATTTGTTGAGTTGGATCTGTAATATGTCAGGTTAAAGATCTGAGTCCTGCTCTTAATCTTTTGTGGTGATATTTATAAAATAAATTAATTTGCATGACCAGTGTAAATTATTATTTTCTATATCATTCTGTTTTATCTTGAAGGTAAGTTCTCTATTCCAGTGAAATAAAAAAGTTCTTTACTCATATGCTATGCAATTTTGTTCTCTGCAGATAAGTTTCCAAGAGTTCAAAAATAAACTTCTGGAACCAGGCTTAGTGGATCATATAGTTGTTTCTAACAAATCAGTTGCAAAAGTATATGTGCGTAGTTCACCACGCAGTCAAACAAGTGATGAAGTTGTCCAAGGACCCATTAATGGTAACCCTGCTCGTGCAAATGGGGGCCAGTACAAATACTATTTCAATATTGGAAGTGTTGAATCTTTCGAGGAGAAGTTGGAGGATGCACAGGAAGCATTGGGAATAGACCCTCATGATTATGTTCCTGTTACATATGTCTCTGAAATGGTTTGGTACCAAGAATTGATGAGATTTGCACCAACACTACTGCTTCTGGCATCCCTCTTGTTTATGGGGCGTAGAATGCAGGGTGGACTAGGCATTGGCGGTTCTGGTGGACGAAGTGGCCGTGGAATCTTCAACATAGGAAAGGCTCAAGTTACAAAAGTGGATAAAAATGCAAAGAATAAGGTTGGCTTTCTGTTTCCCAAGTCCATACTGGTGCTTTTTCGTGTGCATTCAAAATGTTTTCTTACCAATTTTCTTTCCAGTAGTTATAATACTTTTCTTAAGCACTCTGTTGCAAAGTTTCATCAGTAACTTACATATTTAATTGGCCCAGATCTACTTTAAAGATGTTGCCGGGTGCGATGAAGCAAAGCAGGAAATCATGGAATTTGTTCACTTCCTCAAGAACCCTAAGAAATATGAGGACTTGGGAGCCAAAATTCCCAAAGGCGCTCTATTAGTAGGCCCTCCAGGCACTGGGAAGACTCTTCTAGCGAAAGCAACTGCCGGGGAATCTGGTGTTCCGTTTCTATCTATATCTGGTTCAGACTTCATGGAGATGTTTGTTGGTGTCGGACCGTCTAGAGTTAGAAACTTGTTTCAGGAAGCAAGGCAATGTGCTCCTAGTATTATATTTATTGATGAGATCGATGCAATTGGTCGAGCAAGGGGGCGTGGGGGCTTCTCAGGTTCCAATGACGAGCGTGAAAGTACTCTAAATCAGTTGCTGGTAGAAATGGATGGCTTTGGAACAACTGCTGGAGTAGTTGTGCTTGCTGGCACCAATAGGCCTGATATTTTGGACAAAGCCTTATTAAGGCCTGGTCGATTTGATCGCCAAATTTCTATTGATAAACCTGATATTAAAGGTCGCGACCAGATATTTCAGATATACCTGAAAAAAATCAAACTTGATCATGAACCATCATACTACTCCCAAAGACTTGCAGCCCTGACTCCAGGGTTTGCTGGAGCAGACATTGCAAATGTTTGCAACGAAGGTGCTCTAATTGCTGCAAGGAATGAGAGTGCACTGGTCACGATGCAGCATTTTGAGGCGGCTATAGATAGGATTATTGGTGGTTTGGAGAAGAAGAACAAGGTAACTCATTTTTGGCTGGCTCCTTGTTAATTTCATGGTATATAATAACTTTGTTTCATTTCCTAGTATTTTTTACCATTCCCTACCCGCTCCTCATCTTCCTGAAAAGAAAGACTGATGCTGCATAACATGGGGTTGGGACAGCACTGTGTCCTCCCCCACTTAGGAGTCTGGTCATTTCTGTTATGGCTCTGATGATATGCACTATGTCTAGAGAGTTGATTGGAGATAATCATTACATACCGTGGAAGAAAATACACTCTGCTATCCATCTTCCTAAACTATAGTATTGGGGTTGGAATTGCTCATCTTATATGACTCTTTGGGTGTTCCTTATGCTGGGTTAGAGAGAATTTTTTCTTTTGATCTGGACCTTGTAGAACCATTTTGACCTTCCACTAGGGAGGCAGCAATTGTTAATAAAGGTCCAGATCAAACTTTCAGGTAGCTAGAAGGAATTTATGCTTTAGCAGGGATTTATACTTTATAAGAATATGTTTCGACTTTGAACCTTCAGTGTGTTTCTTTGTCTTTGTTCTTTTTAGAATGGAATTTTTGACATCTTTGCTTGTCAAACAGGTTATAAGCAAGCTTGAACGCCGCACAGTTGCCTACCATGAGTCAGGGCATGCTGTTACAGGCTGGTTCTTAGAACATGCAGAACCATTGTTGAAAGTGACCATTGTTCCTCGAGGTACTGCTGCACTTGGGTTTGCCCAGTATGTTCCGAACGAAAACCTCCTCATGACCAAGGAGCAGCTTTTTGATATGACCTGCATGACCCTTGGTGGTAGGGCAGCTGAACAGGTAGCTATCTATGAAACTTAACCTTATTTTTTGGATGAGGCTTATGATGCAAATTGTTTATATTACTTCTAGTAATTCTTCATTCTCAAGTCTTGGAACATTATTAGTCGTGTTATGATGGTGATGGTGAGCATATTCTGTGTTGCAGGTTCTGTTGGGAAAAATCTCGACGGGAGCCCAAAACGACTTGGAGAAAGTGACAAAGATGACCTATGCCCAAGTTGCAGTCTATGGTTTTAGTGACAAGGTGGGTCTCCTTTCTTTCCCTCAAAGGGACGATGGGTTTGAGATGGCAAAGCCCTACAGCAGCAAGACTGGGGCCATTATTGATAGTGAAGTGCGAGAATGGGTGGGTAAGGCGTATACACGCACGGTTGAAATCATAGAGGAACATAAAGTGCAAGTAGCTCAAATTGCAGAACTGTTGCTTGAAAAGGAAGTTCTTCACCAAGATGACCTTCTCCGGGTGTTGGGGGAGCGACCATTTAAATCAAGCGAAGTCACCAACTATGATAGATTTAAGGAAGGTTTTGAAGAGAAAGACGATGAGAAAACAGTGGAGATTCCACTAGTTGGGTCCGAGGAAGATGGCTCTTCGCCCCTTGAGCCCCAGGTTCTGCCTACTTAGTAGTTATTGAGGAGGAAGTTGTTTGTAATTGTACATTAAAAAGGAAAATTTTCTTCAACTCTTGGGCTAACTATTTCACATATTTCTTGTATGGACGAAATCTGTATTATACGTTGATTGCTATTTTATGACTACAGCATTTTCTATGATGTCAGAGACTAGTCTTGATTTTTCAGATTCTCAACTCACAGTGCGATGTTGTTTGTTTCCAAATGCATTATTTGTTGGTTACCATGAAGTCAATGACCGTGCGTTTTATAAGCATCATTGTAGGATTAAGAAATTGGCACCAAAATGCTTGCATGCTTTTGCTTTTATGATTGTAAATTGTACTTTAGTTGGTCAAAGATTTGATGATATAAACAAGATTTTCATGTTATGTTACCAACAAATCAATCATAATCTACCACCTTAAGAAAGCCAACAAAGATAAAAAGAAATGCACTTTGTTATAAATGATTTCTCACAATTACTTAAAAGAATTTGTTTATGAGTGTTGGGGTTAAGTTTCTATACTTAGCTAGAAGCTCTTGCGCCTGTGATATCCCTAATGCTTTTTTATTTATTTTCTTTTTCTTGTGAAAGGGAATCCAACCTTTGACCTAATTTTCGCTACGCGTCCGACCACTTGAGCTAACCCCAAGGGCTTGTACCTTGGAAGTCTTGAAACGTTTTCAGATATGTCCTTTGCTATTTCTATAATGTATGGTCAGGCACTGATGTTCCTCATGAGCGGCATATAAAAAGAAAGTAAAAAAGATATTAGTTCGTGTTTTTGTTAATTTCTTTTCGCTGTTAAATTTTGAATTGTGAAGGGGTGGCTAGTCGCATAACATGTGTTTCTAGACGTTGAGTCTGGCTGGACCAATATCAAAGAGGGTGGTAGCTTTGACCTTCCCCCATTTCATTATTATACTTCAAGCCTCCTATATATATAGGGTTCTCTCAATTTAAGCCTGTCATCTGTATCCTCTTCTCTGCACACAACTTCTTCCTCATTCATTCAGTCCTTATTTACATCTCTCTCTCTGAGGTGCTTTTTCTTCCCCATAATAGCTCTCAAATGTTGCATATTTATTGATGGTTTGGTGTTGAAAAAAAAAAATTAAGTTGGGATAATTGGTCTCTCTCTCTCTCTCTCTCTCTCTCCCCTTTTTCATATCTATGAATTGATGATGCTCCTTTCTTTAGAAGCTTTTAATTTGTAGAGTATAATGGATTTCCAAAATCAGTATCAGCAGGCTGATCAGATGCCAAAATATGAGTGTCTTCTCTTTGGTAAGTCTTTTTTCCTTCATTTTTTTATCCTTCTTTTAAGTCATTATAACTAATAACTTTGTGTCAGATTTCAATCAACATATTCCTGTGTTGTTCTTTGCATCTGCTACCTAGCTAGCCACTTTTCATTAGTACCAACAATAACATAAAACTATTTGTGTTGCAGATCTAGATGATACCCTTTATCCCTTGAGTTCTGGAATGTCTAAACAATGCACCAAGAATATTGAAGGTATAGTATATAATTCATCACCCTTCCATCCAATATCTAATAATTACAAGAAAAAATCAATCTGATTATTCTTGTATCTCTTTTCTCAGAATACATGGTTCAAAAACTAGGCATAGCGGAAACAACAGTCACTCAGCTTAATCAACTGTTATACAAGAATTATGGGACATCAATGGCTGGTCTAAGGGTATGGCCACATATTATAATATCCTAATTTTTTTTATAAATTTTCTATCAATAAACTTTCTTACAATTTTTTCTCCTGTCCAGGCCATTGGTTATAACTTTGACAATGATGACTACCATAGGTACCAAGTTTCCTCCTCCCGTTAACCTCTTTTATTTATCATTATATGATCTGGTGCATATCAGGAAGTATGAAATTATCTTACAAATTCCCCTTTTACAGTTTTGTTCATGGAAGATTGCCCTATGAGGTACTAAGACCTGACCATGTCCTTAGGACTCTTCTGCTGAGCCTGCCGTATCGAAAACTCGTAAGCTGCAAGTTACATATAGAAACAAGTTGATAGTAACTAAAAAATTTTGTTTCAAGATTTAATTTCTCTGATGATGTTTTGGCTTCACGATATGAAAGATTTTCTCAAATGGGGACAAGTTCCATGTGGCAAAAACTCTTAGCAAGCTTGGATTGAAGGACTGTTTTGAAGGAGTTGTATGTTTTGAGACTCTGAATCCCATCATTGATAATGAAGACTCAAAGTCCACAGGCTGCAGAAAGGTTTTTGACCATTCTTGTTTATTTGATGCTGGATCAGCACTTCCAGTGACTCCAGTTGTTTGCAAACCATTTGCGAATGCATATGAACAAGCATTACAGAAAGCCAATATTAACCCTCGAAGAACTGTAAGACAATTATCTGGCACTTCTAATAACCCTTCTTAATTGTTTTTAAATTTTCTGTGAACTTTTACTTTTCCCCTTCTTCGAACATTTCCAATGAACTAAGCAAATGCGTCGTTTGACAACCTATGTAACACTTTACTCCAAAGGATGAGGCAAATAGTTAATATAAAAATAATGTGTCCCCAAATTGCCTCACGACTTTTCAACAAGGTATTTTGCCTTTGCCAAGAGGTGAGGAAAATTTTCCTTTGCTTCTAACCTTGACCATTTGGAGCTTAAGAATGTGGCAAGGCAATTTTAATTTGCCTTGCTAGATACTTGATCATGCTCTTGTTTCTTACCATGCATTCCTCAACCAAAATGACCCTTTTTTTATTTGTTTATTTATACATTTCATGTATAATTCAGTTGATGTAACAGTGAATTTACCACTTATTGCAGCTCTTCTTTGATGATAGCATCCGCAACATACAGGCTGGAAAGGATATGGGTCTTCATACTGTATTGGTAAGTTGTAAAAGAAAGGGATTTTTTTTTTTTTTTTTGGTCTGAACCACGAGGTGGTCCTGGATGGGCTCCAACTATGGATGGCACCTTTAAGCCTTAACCACAACCCAGACTAATCCCCGTTCACACCGGGTCGGCCCGTAAGGAGTAAAGTGCTGGCCAAAGTGGTAAAAAAGAAAGGGATTTTTCAGTTCTTGTTAAAACACGGATCCTGAGTTCAAATCTTATAAATGAAAGTTTATTGTATTGTTGAATAAAAATTTTAATAATGCGTTCGCACCAAAATAAACAAATGATGTATGTATGTACGTATGTATGTATAGGTGGGCACTTCCAACAGAACAAAGGGTGTGGATTATGCAATAGAGAGCATCCACAATATCAGAGAAGCACTGCCAGAGCTTTGGGAAATCAATAATAAGAAAGACATAAGCAGAAGCTTTTCTGGTAAGCTGGCAATGGAGACATCAGTGACTGCCTAACTATATATAGCTTCAAAGTCCTTTGAGTAAAACAAGCAGCATGCAGGCCAGAAGTCGGAGAAAATCTTAAGTGTAACCAGTTTGTATACAATCATGTGTTTATCGCTCTAAATCTTTTCCTCCAACAATTGGGTTAGTATATATATTTACATGTTTATTCTAATAAATGTATGATCAATGAAAGAGAAATCTGCTTTTCTGATTTTTGATGATCAATCACACCCCTCTATTCCTCACAACCTCTATTGATCTTTACAAGAAAGTACAAAAGATTAACTCGGACCAACTACAAATAATTGGAGCAAATTAAAATCCAGAAAGGGAAAAATGACAATTATACTGAAAATTATTAATTGTACAAGATAACAAAATTGGTGCCTATTATTGATGAAAATTATTGAAAAGTTTGCTGATATCCACCATGCTGTCACTCATTTATTGGACAGCTGTGCTTGAGCCTTTGAGGGTACCACAATGGATAACAACATGCACCGACGAAATTTAATGTCAAAATTCTAGACAGCAATTGATATGATTTGTTCACAATATCGACCTTTCACCCCCTTCATTTCTAACAATCAAAGTATTCACACGAGCAATTGGTGTCTGCTGTGACAACTTTGGGTTTTCGTAATACCAATCTCATACTGAAAAAATTGTCCTAACCTAAACAATGAATAAATAAACATCATGATAAGATATCAATCTTTGAGTACTAACTAGTGGGATCGTTTTTGTTTTTTTGTTGAGAGAACCTCGACGGAATGAGGGAAACTTTATTTATAAAATGAAGAATTACAATGGAGAGCAACACATCTGACATCGACTCAACAAATCACATAATATGGCATTCTGAACAAGATTAGAGACACCTCAAATCAAATAAAGTTGTTCACATTATGCAGACCGAATCTAGCAAGTCGGTGTACAACACTAATTGCTTTCCTATGAGTAAATTGAAAAAGATAGTCAAGAATCTATTTTTGAAGATGCTTTACATCTTCAACAATGAGTCGGTGTACTAACTAATGGGATCGTTGTTCTATTTGTTCATGTTGCGTTGCATTCCGAACCCTAATTGTTTTTAGTAATTAAGATGTCATGTCATCTACTATATCAATTAAATATCTTCGTAAAAGAAAAGTTCTCCACACGAAGGATTGACAATGATACCACCCCAAATCAAAAATGATACCACCCAAAATCAAAATGTTTTACTTAAATAGTAATTAAGATAAGATAAAGGCTTAATATCCAACAAACAGGATATCAAGATAGTTTCGTGGAAGCATAAATGAACAACATACACACTAAAATCACCATATTACCATTTATATGTTTGAAAATAAGATCTATTAAAGTTTAGGTAAATGAACGGAAAATACTATCTATTTATATAAAGTTGCTGGAGTGCTCTTAAGTTTTAAGTTGTAATGAAGAGAAATTCTTGAATCCGATTGTTGGACTAGCCAATCTGATTTTACGTTGGTCTTACATCTTTGAGTGTGTTCGAAGACAAAAACTTATACGGAAAAGGAAGAATCCTAGGAAGAGAAAGCCTTCTATTGTTTGAGGATTTTTGAGTTAGATTAGGTGTTGCAACTTGCAATACCTAAATAAGAAAAGATTATTTGAGTAACAACTCTCCCATAAAAAAGGCTCAAACAGTTGCTTTGTCATGAAGATTTTTTTGTTATTAAAAAAAGCATCAAATCAAAGCGAAGCTCAGGGACGTGGCTAACCGGGTACGTATAACGTATGCCACAAAAATAAAATACCAAAGGCTCCTGGCGATAACGACACGTGTCCTAATCAAACGCGATTTTTTTGCAGGCATCTCGCTTAAAGCAGGCACGTGTCAGGCTCGCATAGGGCCACGTAATCCGGTCAAAAATGGGGTTATGACTTTGACGTTCGAAGAAATTGAAATCCAACATTAAAATGACGGGTGTGTGGCTATTTAAACACTTTCATGCTTCCGGTTAATTTCTCTCTCTCTCTCTCTTTCTCTCTTTTCCCTTCTAAAAGTCCTCTCTTTTTCTCTCCATCTCTCTGTCTCTCTCTCTAGTATCTACAACTGCGGCCATTTGGATCTGGTAACGCTCATTTTCTAGTCTTTGAATGCTTTTTTATTACTTTAGAAGTTTGGATCTTTTTCTTTATATTTTCAATCACAATGGTTAACGTGTGATAAATCAAATACTGGGTTTTCTTTGTTCATTGTGATGAAGCATTGTTTTCTGATTTCTCGTTCACAATTGTTGAAGTTGTGGAAATCAAATATTGGGTTTTATTTTGTCCATTGTAATGTTTCTTCAATGTCTATCTATACTTTCCGGGGTTTGAGTGATCTTCTTCCTTTAATCGGGTGTGGGGTGTGAATGTTTTTGCACCTGTGATAACAGAAATGTGATGTGTAAGTTTGTTACCTTTTCTTTTGTGATATAGGGCCTTTTAGTTTTGGATTTTTTTGATGGTTTGGAAATAAAAGATTGAACTTTTTGTGAGGTTTGGGTTTGTAGGCATTGTGATTTTCCATCAAAATGAAGTTTTAAAATGTAAAACATTGGAAGTTTTATTACTACTTTTAGCATTTAGGATTTTGTGATTGAAGTTGTTTATATGCTTAATGCTTTTCTTCAATTCCTCTGGTTTGAAGCCTTCTAGATCAAGATGGAAAACGAGGATCAATATCAGCAGTATGACTGCCTTCTATTTGGTAAGCCTTAATACACAGGTTTTGTCGATTTGAAATTTATGGTTCTCGAAGGCGGAATAACAACTAGCTGTTTTGATTTCCAGATCTAGATGACACCCTATATCCTCAGAGTTCAGGGATTTCAGTACAAATCACTAAGAATATTCAAGGTGAGGAATGCTTTATGATTATGGATTTTAAAGCTTTTATGTGAAATGTCCATTGTTTGAATAAAATTTCTATGAATTTTTCGCTGTAGAATATATGCTTCAAAAGCTTGGCATGAAGGAAAGTGAAGTTCCTGAATTGTGTATTTCATTATACAAGGATTACGGGACGACGATGGCTGGTCTTAAGGTAGGGTGATTATGATCCCTTCAACTTTTTAATTTTTGTTTCTAAAAGTATTTAAGGCAGAACAGAATGATAAATGAACTTGGTTTTGCGTTTTGCCTTATTTCCAGGCTCAGGGCCATAACTTCGAGTATGATGACTTTCATAGGTACCAAATGCTTAACCTTAATTTGTGCTCCTATTGTTTACGACAATCATGTGATCTTGGTTTGTCACTATAATCATTTCTGCAGTTTTGTTCATGGGAGGTTGCCCTACGATTCACTTAATCCTGACCCCATTCTCAGGGGTCTTTTACTTAGTCTACCTATCCGGAAAGTAGTAAGTTTTATTGATCAATCTATACTCTCAAATGTGGTCTTTATAAAAAAGGGGGAATGTTTTAACAACAATGCTTTCTTCTCGTGTTATGTTGGTCATTGTGTGTAGATTTTCACAAATTCAGACAAGGCACATGCCGCTAGTGTGCTCGGGAAGCTTGGAATAGAGGACTGCTTTGAGATGATTATATGCTTCGAGACTCTGAATCCCACCAACAATGCTGATGATTCTGTTGGTACCGAAGAAACTGAAAATGTTGAACAACCAAATACTGGTTCTGTAATTTCAAAGACCCCAGTTGTGTGCAAACCGTTTGAGCATGCATATGAAGAAACTTTTAAGATTGCAAACATCAACCCCAAAAGAACGGTAAGATTTTTTTTACATATTTTAACTACGGCAATTGACTTAGCCATAGGTTAGGTCTCATAATTGGCAGGGTACTGTTTCAAATAATAGGGTCTATACTATTTCGTAGCACTGTTCAATTCATTTTGTATACTTTTACTTGTCTTCATCAACATTCTTCAATTCGTTTTGTGATTTCATTTTCGTTTCCAGTTATTCTTCGACGATAGCATTCGTAATTTGCAAACTGCAAAGGAGTTAGGGCTCCATACAGTAATGGTAAGTTACTAATACCAATTCGGGCAAGTAAAATTTTGCTGTATCTGAGAAATGATCTAAGGATATCATTCTCACTAATATGGTTTATGAAATTGTTGTGTAGATTGGCACATCTCACCGAACTAAAGGTGCGGATCATGCATTTGAGAGCATCCATAATATCAAGGAAGCATTGCCAGAACTCTGGGAAACCACTGAACAGTGTGAAAATGTTCGATATTCGCGAGAGATTGCAATCGAACAACCGGTACAAGCGTAGGCCATATTTAAGTCGTCTGAAATGTAGAGAGCTGCATTCATTACAGGCAACCATATGGCTGATGTGTTTTCTTATTTGTTTATGTGATTTTCTCGTACTTTGGAATTGTAGAATTGTATTATATATGTGAGCTTAATCTAGCAATACTGTTTCTAACATGCTGGGAAGCCCCTTCTTTTAATGACAGTAAAACTGTTTCTACCATATTTATTTTTCACAAAGTCATGTCCATGTTTTCTCATACAAATTGGGTGACGGTTAAGATATGTCACATTCTACAAATAGTTTGTTCTACGTTGCCTAGGCTTTTATGTTCCTTTTCAACTTCCAATTTATTTTTTATATTAACTTCCAATTGGTATTTCTAAAGATAGGCTACTCATTGATTTGCTAGGAATATAATATTATTTGAGACTTAAGAGCATCTACAATGGGCTTCTTAAACCACATCTTTAGACAAATTTTAGGGAGGAAGTTGAAAAAATACAACTCCAACCATGCTCCTTATCCACCTACTAAAATAAGGAGACCTCTAGGAGCTCCTAAATATGAAGAGAGAGAAATGACTTATAGTGACTCCCTATAATTTAGTACTGCTTTATTTAATGAGTATTTCAAACCTTTGATTAATGCTAATTATTTGTATATTATTTTTTAATAGATATTGACCAATTAAAAAAGAGTTATAGCATTTATGACTCCTAAAACTAGAAAGCATGATTGGAGTTTAAATTTTTTAGAGAGGTCATAAAATAACTTTTATATATTTTTAGCTAAAATTTAATTAAAATATACAGAGCATGATTGTGAAATGCTCCCTAATTTTTTTAGTTAAAATTTAGCTAAAAGCACACACAAGCTATTTTAGGAGCACTATATAATATTTGAACTCCAATATGATTGGTCCATCTTTATAAAAAAAAATAAGATAAAAAACTAGTTAGCATTAATTAAAAGTTTAAACTATGCATAAAACAAAACAACATTAAATTATTGTTGAGGCCCAAAAATTCAAGGGGCTAAGCCCAGATTAATTCTTGGCCCAACACAGATAATTGAACTCAAAAGAAGCTCAATCGGGACAAAAGAAAATTTGTAGGACGCACCAATACAAGCTACGGGCCACGTATCATGCCAAGCAAGCACGTGCAAAAGGGGCCAGGAGCATGCCAACTTTACAAAATCGCGCTCACATACTCATTCGGTGTTACTTGCCCCGATTATAGCCTATCACAGCATAATAAAACTCAAGCACAAGCGTAGGTGTCATGTAAGAAGAGACATTATTCTAACACCAAACTATGCCACAAGCTTAAGTGGGCCCAAGCCACAAAATTACCCGGGGCTTGCTGAGAAAGTTGTGGTGTGGATGGGTACAAGCGCTCACAAGGCCCATTTGAGGGATTTAGGAATGAGAATTTTGGGCTACTTGGGAGTACCAAAACTCAAGCCCATTTATTGGCCCAAAACACATGGGCTAGCACGAGAGAGAGAGAACATGACCTAATGCCTTAGGAAGAATACAATAGTTTGCTTAGAATGCCCAAATACTTTGTTAAAAACGCAAAAACCAGAGGAAATCCATGCGAGCAAGAGGTTTATTCGTTAGGTAAACAATATGTCCATTCCTCATTTTCCTCTATTAGCTAGCATAGGAAAAATCAAGAAGAAAGTTAGTGGCGCTTCACCCGTATGGAGAAAGACCAGCTATGCCAAAACCTTGGAGCCACAAAGAGCTCCTTACCTATGCACCTTGGATGGGAGAATTTCACTAAAGAAGATTATGTGGAAAGAAGCAACGAAAAAGAAAGGAAAGGGTTAGATGAAATTAGGGTTCTTTGTGCCTATAAAAGAGGGCTTCTGCTACCCAGGAAAACAACCCATTCAGAGCCTGACCAAGCTTTGTCAAGCAACTGAAAATTTACTCAAGCCACCCAATCTTCTTCTTAGTTTGTTTTTCTTCTTCCCTTAAGATAGAAATCATGCTAATTTTCCTCTGCCTTACTCTAGATTATAGATCTCCACAAGAAATTCAAGCTTTTTATCTCTCTCAAAATTGCTAAACTTGTGAAAGCTTAGCTCCATGCCACAAGCTCCTCAAGCTAAGTCACTTATCAATTTATTACGATTATCTGGCTGTTAGTGAAAAGAACCTAAGAGTGTTTTTTCTAAAGTTTCAAAAGACTTTTCAAAAACCCTTTTGGGAGCTTGGTTTTAGAACTCGGGTACTTGAGGAATTTCTGTTCGTTTTTTTCTTACGGCAGCCCAAGCCCATTCGTTAGGCTACTAGAACAAAAGACCCCTACAATTATAAAGAGCCATTAAGAGTCATCTCTCTCTTCATATTTAGAAGCTTCTAGAGGTCTCATTGTTTTAGGAGGTGGATAGTGAGCATGTCTAATTCCTCCCTAAAATTTGTCTAAGAATGTGATTTAGGGAATCCATTGTTGATGCTTTATTTATTTGATATCTGCAGCTTATCGTTTTTTAAAAATAGCTACTCCAAAAAAGTAAAAAGAAAATTGAAAATCGATAGGAATTTTTTTTTCATGAAGGACCTGAACCAACGTTGCACTGAGAAAGAATATTGAAAGCCTTCGTGAAGAAGCACACTGTATAAAAAAAAATTAGTTATTTCAAACCGTTTTTAAACTTAGATGCTCGTTATGTATCCAAAACTTTTTTTCAAAACAATACTGTCTCTCTTTTCTATGATCAATTTTAGAATAATTAATTTTTAGCATTCATCCTACGGGTTTCACTCCCAAAATAATGCAGATGTTAGGTTAGTTGGCTAGGGCAGTGTATCCAACCCTTTGTACTCGAGTTCGATCCTCTTCTCTACAGTTTAGAGAAGTCTAGACCATCACTAGTATAAAAATTTTTTAAAAAAAATCCCGAAATGATTTTAAATCTTCTAAATCATGAAAACATGAGCGTATATCATTTATAGCATAAACCTTTTTATTTTTATTTTATATATATATTTTTTATTTATAATAAATAACACTAACCTCCCTTCTCATATGGTAGATTTCAAATTACAACAAGGCCCTGTTTGGTTCATGGGAAATGAGACTTGAGAATGAGAATTCAATTGCTTTCCCATGTTTGGTGAGTCCAGGCATGGGAAATGGTTGCCTGGCACATGAGAAAGTAGGGGGGAAAGTGAAGCCCTTCTCTTAACTTGGGTTTTGTTTTCCCTTCTCATGGGAAAGTTTGGGAAAATGAGCCAACATTCAATGCACAATTTTCATGACTCTTCTGTCCCTATGAATAATTTATAATTACAACGTATCATTAAATGCATTCTTTTTTTATTTGATTTAATATGGGTATAATTGCAAAATTATACAAACTTTGTTTTCCATTCCTACTTAAAACAAACATGGGAAAGGAAACAAAATGAAATCTCCCAGTTACTTTCCTGACATTACCAAACATGAGAAATGAATCTTTCATTCCAATTCCTTGGGAAATGACATGGGAAATGATTTCCTCTTAAATTCATTCCGTGAACCAAACGGGGCCCAAGTGTTGTTTCTCAAAAAAAGAGGAAGGTTAATGTAAAGCTTACTGAACCTCAAGGAAGGTTTGCATAATTTACTCTATCTAAATTGATTGGGGCACAAATTTTGAGTTGAAGCAAAGCCCCATGAAGAGCAGGAAAGAACTCGGGACAATATCCAACAATTCAAGAAAATAAAGATATATTATAAATATATGAACAAAATTCCACATAATCTGTACGACATGGAAGGTATGTTTGAATTGTCATTTCATACCAACTTCTGGTTCATATGGATATTTACACAAAGACAAAAAGCATCATTCATGTGCATAACACTTTCTAGGGTTGGACCTTCCATTGCCACATCACTTGACTGTTTCATCTAAGAAAGAATTGATGGAATATAAATGCCTTCTCTTTTTTCTTTTGTTTTGGATGAAGGATATGCCTTTAACTTCACCCTTTCAGTGAATACTTCTTCCCCGTGAATGCTTGGAACTTTGGCTCATCTGTCTTTTGAGAAGGATCTTCTGCCTTCTGAGAAGGCTCTTGCCTGCTGTTCTTTGGGGCAACCTGGGTTTACAAGTTCAAACCAAACAGATGAGATACTTTAAAGTTAATAAGAACAGACAATCAATTAAATTGGAGAAAAAAAAGGGCGTACTTTTGGGGTTTCATTTGTGGGCTGGTTGACATTTGATCCAAACACAAGCTTTCCAGAGTGTTGACGTGCAGCACAAGTTGACGACTTCGAACCCTTGGTTCCATTTTCACTCTCCAGTTGGTGCTGCTTGAGTATGGGAGAGGAAACTTGTGCAACTGATTGTGTCAAGGGTTTCCCATCCAATCGTTTTCCTGAACCAGTAAAGGGACTGAATTTTGGTATCTTTTCAGGTGGTTCTTCTTCGGCTGAAAGATGCATGTTAAAAATGGAAAATTGATGTTATCCGTTAAAAAGGAATTCTATCATCTTATAAGCAAAAAATTAAGGTCAACAGTTAGAATTGAACCATCTTTCAAAATTATTTAAACAGAATAACATAACTACCTTCTAGTAGTCTCTTCTTTGACGAAGTAATAGGTGCTGGTTTCTCGGGTTCCACATAATCAAGAGGAGGGGCAAAATCAACCTCACAGTCCGTCTCAATTATACTGATTGCAGAGGAGGGTTTTGTTTCAACTATGTTAATGTAATACTTCTTATTGTTATAAGGAACCATGATAGTGTCACCAGTGGTTAAACAAGAGTAGCTCCTCAATGTAGTCTCCAAACTGAAGGAAGAAAAGTGAGGATATAAATATTTTATTATTACACTCAAAGTGCAATGCAATTACCCAAATGAAGATATCAAAGTGATTAACTAACATGGCTTTGGGATTTGAGATATCAAGAAAGTCCTTGGTGTGGGGCTGCAACTTCACATACGTTCCCTTTACAAGGCTTTTGTTTTTCACTTGACAAATGTCTCCCTCTTGAAGGAGCATGTTCTCCATCATCTACAAAGAAACAAAAGAACATAAATGAGTAAGCATCACCATATCTGGAATGCTGCTGCAACAAATTCCAAGAAAGATATGTGTACCCAGTAAGGTAAATAGATTAGGCCCTCATCAGCAACAAATTCCAAAACCCCACAATGAGTAACTCGGTCAACAGTAGGATTGTTAAGTTCAAACAACATAGGGTAGTCGATCTGTAAAGATGCTGGAGAAGAAAAGCTCGTATTTAGTTGGCATATCATATATCAGGACCCAGGGTTACATAAGTTGAAAATCCAATTGGCAACAGCAGGACAAGGAAGAGAGAAAATTATCAATTTACCGAGGCGGTCAAGAGCTGAGGGAGGCATTATAACTGGAAGGACAAAGAAAACAAACAAATAATTAAGTAAGTATTTAATACTATCAAGCAAATGAGCAAAGAGGATGCCATGGATGGTATAAAAAAACCAGTCAGGCAGATAAACATACTTTTATCACCCTTTTCCAGATGTGACTGCAAAAGATCAAAAGTAAGAGGAATCAGTATAAACAATTAGGAAGCTGGCCAAAGAATAAGTTCACTTATAACTTGGAGGGCATAGGGAAAACTTTCAACTTAATTAGCTAAATTTTTTTTGTGAGAACTTAATTAGTAAATTTTCCAGGTTCAGAATTCAAACCTTGTCAATAAACGAGACAGGGTAACAACGATAACTCTGCTCAAAAGCAGAAATGCGATAGTTTTCATGAGCCTGTAACACAAAAATAATCAGAACAGTGAATAACATTTATCAGCCAAACAAGTTCAAAACAATTAGATCAATGGATACAGTGTGAAGTAGAAGCAAGCAACACTCAAAATAGTAATCTAAGCTCATTAACTGATACCCATCACTGTTTTAAACAGTCAGATTGTCAAAATCTGACGCCAAATTGTTACCCAATCGCATAAACATATTACTCCCAAACTAAAACCTCCTCTATCCTACAGACATGCATTAAACCGTTCCTCCTTATCACATGATTTCCATTCAAGCTAACCCATTAGAAACTATACTGCCAACACAATCAAGTCCTTAACTTTATTTTGAATTTCAATTTAAGAAAACACAAACTACAAGGAAAATAAAAGAACGTACCATTTTCACTGGGTCCCAGAACTGATTGCCTGTCAAATAAGCAAACAATGAGAAAACATCAAAAAAAGAAAAAAGAAAAACCCAATTATCAATCTAAATCCAAACTTCAGAATATCAGTCAACCCATATAGATTCTAGATATACAGTTACAAGAAAAAGAAACCCACTCTGTTCAAAAAATGAAACAAAGAGAACAAGAAGAAACCTACTATCTGACTACCAACAAAAGCATTGAAGATAGAAGACCCAGAAGAAAATAGGCACCAAAAGTTATTGAATTTTGATGCTGTTAAAACAGAAAGAAGGGATTTTGATGAATAGCTGGGCACCTTTTTGTCTGTAATGGATGATGGTTGAGTTGAGGTGCTGGGTTTTCTTGCGGCCTAAGGAGAGCCAGCTGGGTCTGAGACTCTTGAGTCTCTGAGTCTGAGCAGTGAATTTTGTGAGATGGTGGGTTCCGAGGTTTTTATAGGTTAAGAGAGAGTCTTGGATTCGGATGGAAAAACTAAAGCGGGTCCTCGTGGGTTTGTGGCTCGTGGATTACGAGGAGTGGTTCAATTTTTTATTATTTTTTTATTTTTACTATTGTTGTTTTCTTCTTCTTCAATTTTTTTTTGTACCGCATTTTCTTTTCTTTTATATCAATTTGCAAGCAATCACGTCCCAACAAAATTCCTCGGTTTTTGTTTTTTTAACAAAAGATTTGGGGAGTTTCACTAAAACACCCAAAATGGAGGTTGAAATTATAAAAAAACCTAACACCCAAAACACTTTATAAACACACCCAAAACTCATCATTACACACACTCAAAACCCATTTATAAACACCCCCAAAAAGTTGATTTTGAGGTTGATTTTGGGTGTGTTTCTATGTTTAAATAATGTTTGAGTTTTTTTATAAATACATGTTTAGGATTGGGTTTATTTATAAATTTGTATTACAAATATTTGTCATTGACATCTCTGTGAGTCAAACATGATACATTCTTTAATTAATTGAAGACAAATATCACTAAAATAAGGTTAATTACCATAAAATTGTAATCCAAAAGAAACGAAAAGTTATGAAAAATAGCCCAATTTGAGCGCTTTAAAGAATTTTGCCTATTTTACATTTTAAATTTAACCAAGCTGCAAGGTATGAACGAGCATTATTCTATGGGACCCATATGATACTTTAAAAACAAAGTTATTTAGGGTGTTCGTGGATTCAAATATTTTAATATTTAGAATATAATCCAATGTACATTAGATTTCTAATATTACAATTTAATTAAATCCAATCCAATTTGTTTCAATTCACATGGGTGATGGTTGGTTCTTTCTTAATAACCAAAAAGAACTATTAAACAATTATCTCAAACTTGATCAAATCACAACCTTAAAAATTTAGGGTGCAAGTTTGAAATTAACCTTTCAACAACAAAAAACCTTACTTGAATTCAACTCTCTCTCTCTCTCTCTCTCTCTCTCACTCTCACACACACACACACACACACACACACACACACAAGTATTTTGAGGCGGAATTCTATAGTGATTGTGCTATATATGGACTTCTCATGTGGACCTTCATATTAGTCACATAGAACGACTCGTATTTTGAGACTGATTTGGGCCTTTGCAGTCCAGATCTAAGCCAGTAACATTTGGTACTCTGATTGGCCCAAAGGCTGGCCTAAAGGAAGCCCATCACTAGCGAGGGATAAATTTGTCTTTTTGTTCTGTAATTTTCCATTCTTCCCCAAAACAAAACCCTTGTTCCTTCTCTTCGTCCCCTCCTGAAGTTGGTGAACAAATAAAGGAAGCTTCTTTCCGTCACTGCGAGACAAAACTGAGCCTTTGCAGAGAAATCAAGCTTAAAGTTACCGCCTTGAGCTTTCAATTGGATTTCAGAAGAAAAACTACGAGGCCGATATGGCGAAGCGAGAGCTTTCCAGCACGCTTAGGAACTTAAAGGTAAAAGAATTGAAGAAAACAGCTACACGAAACAGTCCTTTTTATTTTTGTTGTTTTTTTAATTAATGTTCAGTATTAGTTTCTGTTTGAAGTAATTTTTTTTTTATAAACCCACGTGAAATTTGATCAGGGGCTTGCTTAAATTCATCTTGGTGTTCTTTAATTTTGAATTTTTTTAACTTTCTGGTAAACCCATAATTAGTTTTTCAAATACATTAATGCATATGGGTTGATTTTTTTGTTTTGGGTTATTACCATAGTTCATGCAAAGAGCAACTCAGAGAGAGGAGAAGAAAGAAGAAGATGTCAAACCTGCTGTCGATTTTACTTTCCCTGCCAGCCAAATAAGGAAGTGGTAGCTTTTCTTTCTGTTTATTCCTTGTTCTGATATTTCTCAAAGTATTTGAGCTGTTTTTCTTCTTGGGTTACATTAATGAAAGAATATATAATTTTAAGGTTCAGTGTGGATTATTAGAATTTCGTTATAGTTTTATGTCCACCTCCGGCATAAGCATATTTTGTCTTTTGCAGTACTTCGCTTCTTGAACTTTTTTTGTTGAATTGCCACAGGAAAAATTATTTTGTTGCAGTATCTAAAAAGTTGAAGAAATTTTGGATTCATTAGAATTGCAATATTGTCTGGATTGTGATAGATGATTTTTTGGAGAATCAGTTTGTAGCGCCTAACCGTAAGCTACTACTTTGAAGGGCTAATTTTACATAATTAGCTTTCATAAGGTTACCCTTTTCGGAAGCCTTTAGTATGTTGATGCAAAGGCATTAATGACTCAACATAGATGCCCTAAGGTGTCAATTAAGATAACTCTGTGCATTGAACCAGAGATGATTGCAATTACCTGCTATAATTATTCATTAGTTACATTAATCCACCTTCTTTCTTCAAATTTGACGTACTTCATGTGGATGGCTGTGCTCATGCTGCAGTATGGTCATAATGGAAGGTGACCCCCATCCCGGAGCAATTAAAGGGCGGATGTCGTTTCAAAGTTTCAATCCATCGATTGATGTGAGTATAAGGTTCATGGACCTTAAGATTTCCAATGACTATTAATTTCTTGTGTACTTCTTGATTGACTTTTGTTCACCTTACATAAAAGTGTTTCCATGGTAGAAACTGAATGAAGCATCGGCAAACCCTTGTCAGCCTGCTGCCACTTCTTCTGGTATCCAAAGTGAAAAAGGGTCATTTAGGTGGGTGATTGGACATTTCAGTCTTTTAATTATTTGTTTTATTTATAAGAATGTATTGTCTCTGTAAATGATTTTTTTTGCTCCAATGGGTTGAGACTAAGAAATATATGTTGCCTAATTTTTTTCCAAAAATTTTGGTTTCTGCTCTCCCATCTTCTTTCTCCTATTTGCATTTCCACAGAGAAAATGGTTCCTCAACGGATGAAGCAGAATGCTCAAATACTGATAAGTCGAATTGTGAGCGTGATGGAGACCATAAAAGAAAACCGTCTGAAGTAGTTTCTGGAAAACAATATCCGAACAAGTCTCCCAAAGTTGATCAAGGTGATCAGCTGTCATCGCCAAATAAAAGTAAAGGCTCGTTCAAAAAACCGAAGGGTGAAAAGCTGGACTGGAACATTCTTAGACCGACAAAAAATCAAAACAAAAGAGGTTGAACATAACTAGGTGATTCACTTGCAGTTGTGTGAATTTTATTTTTGAATCGCTTTCAGGCCCTATAATTTGTATCTGTAATCTTGCTGTCAAATTATCGACGCCCAGTTTTCGTAACTGCCTTTTAAAGTTGTTAGCTTTCAAGCTGTACTGGTTTCTCTATTTCCAACCCAAAAATAACATGAAGACTTCTAGCTAGTGCTGCTAGGATAATTCAAACTAGGTTATGTTTGAAAGTTGTGGTTATTTGTTACCCTCTAGTGCCAAAGGCTATTTCTCCCGAACTTCTAGCAACTAGTTGGAAAAGATGAATGCATAAAGTTGTACTAGTTTTTGCATTATTTATTCCAATCAAGCTTAGAAAACATTGATTACATTATTATGAGCTACACTTTTGGCACATATGTTGCTTTGAACATCACAAGACCCATCCTAAAGTCTGATTTTCCTAAAGAAATTTTTGAATGTCAAGGCCACTGATTTATGTACCTTTCTGGGTTCTGTATAAACATGAAGGAATTTTCAGGATGCTGTAGTTGTAAAAATATGCACGGATCTAAATGAATGGCCCTTGCCCAATCGTCTTTGTCTGCGTCACTGTCCAAAATAGGGATTGTGCATTACATTTATATGTTAGTATTTGGATTGTGAATGTTGGTTAGTTATGATTTACTGGCACACTAGTATAAAGGGAAAGGTATATATTGCAATGACCTATGCTGATATTATGTTTCAGATTCCTAATTGTTCTTGGTATAAGGCATGTATCATCCTTTCTTGTAAATTGAAATTTCGCCAGTTGATTGATGAGAAATAATCCCTTATTTGTTTCACTCCTTATTTCCAACCCATCTTTGATGATTTGCAAGGCTAAGATTCCTTGCAAGGTGCAAATACTTGCTTGGATAATTAGTTCTGGAAGAAGTATTATCTGTGATGTAATTCAAAATACGAGGCTGAACATTAGCTTATCACCTCATTAGTGCAGTATGTGTAAAGTTGCAGTTGAAAGTGTTGACCATTTATTTTTCACTACCCCATTGCTTTGAGGTTGTGGTATATGTTGTTCTGGTTCTGGAGAGCAACATTGGCTTGGGTGATCCTGTATTCTTGTGCATCAGCAGTCGAATTTTGTGCTTTAGGACAAGGGAAAAAGAGGCTGATTTGTGGAGTTGTAGTATGTTGCCAAATTGTGGGTTGTTTGGTTGGAGGAGAGGAATGGTAGCATTTTCTAGGGGAAAAAAGTACGGAGGGGATATTATGTTGAATAGGGTCAAATTTTGGGCACCCGTATGGGGTTCAGTCTAATGAAGGTAGAGATATTCCATTTTTTATTTAATGCTTGATTAGAGGATGCATTATTACAAAAACTTGGCAGTGGCACCGCATCTCTTGATGAAGAACGGCAACAACATGGTTCTCAGTAAAGCTGGATGCAAAAGAGCAATACAACACATAGTAGACGTGTGCGAGACCTAGTAGATCAGTGTTTGATAAGCATGTGTGAGCTTGTAAATCAATGACTTTGAACATTGATATTCTCTTTATTGTTCTGGCTGGAGCCTGCAATATGAGTATCTCGATTTGAGGTGATGGGAGTGTTGCACGGCTTGAAAGAGAGATGAATTGATAGAATTTTGATCCAAAGTGTATGCTATTGGATATTACGATTCAAATTCGGAATTTGTCTACATCAATACTGTAAAGACGTTAGTATTTTTCAATTAGACATTTGGATAATAAAATAGTTGTTTTCTTTTCAAGTAAGTAACAAATCATGACGATGTTATAAATATGCTGTTAACCAGCAATTAGTGCTATGAGACAGATCATGATACCAAGAAATTTAAGAACTATGAGAGTCTATAGACTACACAACTCTGTT